ACGCCAGGGGCCGAGGCAGAGGCCTCCGGCTGCGGCGTCCCTTCCCCTAACAGCCCCCCCACGCCAGGCCCGGCGAGGCAGAAGCCTCCGGCCGCGTCGTCCCTTCCCCTCCCCCCCCCCCCCCAATGCCAGGGCCGGCGAGGCAGAAGCCTCCGGCCGCCGGGTCCGTTTCCCCCCACCCAACCCCACCCACTCCAGGGCCGGCGACTGGAGGTCATAGGGTCTACCCTCCGAAGCATCCATTTTCTCCAGGGGAACTGATCTCTGTCATCTGGAGATCAATTGTAACAGTGGGAGATCTCCAGGTCCCACCTGGAGATTGGCAACCCTAGGGGAAACATTTTCTTCAACCCTAATTTTTTTCCTTCTCATTAAAAAAACAAAAACAAAACATTTTCATGGGCCCCTTAAAGTACCGTGGCCCCTAAGCAATGTGCCTACTGTGCCTAACGGGTAAGTCAGCCCCTTGCATTTGCTCTTTTGCCCGCTTAACCTCCACCACAAGGTAGTTGTGAGGATAACGCAGAGAAGAAGAGACTCATGCATGCCACTTTAGACTCCTTGGAGAAAGACAGGGATGCAAATGTGTCCTCAAGATCCTCCACACCAGAATGGAGCAGCCTGGGTTCTGGTAGACATTTTCTAGTATGGCTGCTGCATTCTGCATTTTCTTGTATGGCTGCCAACATTAAGCAAGTCTCCTTATGGTCACAACTGAGCAATGGGATCCAGAAAGCACTGTTAGTTCCTGTGTGCACTGTCACTGCCCCACAAAATTATTTAGGCATCCTTGCAGGTGTTTTTGGCCATGTGTCTGACATTCAGTGACTTCAAGTGGGTGCCCAGAATCTGTGGGCCCTCCTATGGCTGCAATCCAACTTCAAAATCCAAGAAAATCAATGTTTGGTGCAATACCACAAAACTCCAGTGCACAGCTAACAAATTTAAGTAATATTTTGCTTCTGTCCACTAGGATGTTCTTATCTGGAAAGGACTTTGTCACGAACAAAGTGTTGCTGAACATTATGGATTTTCTGAGTGTTGTGGTAAAGTTGATCATGAAAGAAATGAATGTTTGTTGTCCCATCGAAACGCAACTCCAGGATCCTTTCCCCCGTACGAACGCCCAGAGGCTGAAGCTGGCTGCAAAGCATTTCAGGACAACAGACTCGAAGTTCTGGGCCAGTAAGTGAATTGACTTAATGTTATTCCTGGAAGAACTGGTTCTCCTCTTAGAGTTCAATAGCATTAGTATAAAATATACTACTTCCTGTTGCAGATCAGATAACTGTCATATACCAACTTGTGGTGTCAGCTGCCTCTCAGCAGTCGACTGTTGCCTGATTCCTGGTAGATTCTGTTCATTCTTGATTGCTGCTACACTACCGTTGTAACAGAACTGCAGCCATTGAGCAATTGAGGATTATCACCACCACATCCGTCCCAGTCAGAGTCCGCATGATATACTAATGGATGGTATCTTCCTTGTAGTTTCCTATTTGAGATTGCCAGGAGGTCCAGCGATACAAGTATCCTCGTTCTTTTTCACACCGTGGCGGAATATGAGGAGGTGCTGGTAGCCTGCTGCCAGGCAGAGGACAAGGCTGCCTGTTTCAACGAAAAGGTACCTCGCTCTATCTCAATCCTCTCTTGAGAGTCTGAGGAGGAATCTGTATTGGTATTTCCCACTCAGCTTCGGCTACACTCTTCCTTCGTCTCCTAAAAGATGTCCACATCTCTTTAGGTTTAGCTCTCCTACTGCACTGTTATAATTTCTGCTGTCTGCACTATTTTATTGCTCTATGGTTTCGGCTCCGTTGTAATTGTGGCTTCTCCCCCGACGCAACCTGATGTGGTTAAAAGCACTCTAAGCCCCCCCCCAAGTGCTAATCGGAGGCTTATCTGCTTCTGACAGCACACAGAGGAATGTAGGAAACTTTTCCCTTGTTTGACAAGCTAAGAGTGGCTGCGGTCACACGAAGCATTAGCCACGCTACAGAGACGGAAGATAGGCAGATTTTCCGGGCTCGATCTCACCGCCACATCTGGGAAACGTAGAGCTCCCGTGGCTCACCCGAGGCTTCCTGCTG